TGATGGATTAATAATTTGAATGACTTAACTGGGTGGTAACTGTAGGTAGGTGGGTGGGTATAGCTGAAGGAAGAGGTCATTGGGGTTGTCTCTTAGACCTGGCTCTTATGCATTCTCTCTCTCTCTCTCTCTCTCTCCCTCCCTCCCTCCCTCCCTCCCTCCCTCCTGTCTGTCATGAGTGGAGCAGCCTTCTCCACCATGCCCTTCTGCTGTGACATTCTACCTCCCTAGGATCAGATTGATGGAGTCAGTCAACCATGGACTGAACCTCTGAAACTGTAAGCCCCAAATAAACTTTTCCTCCACTAAGTTGTTTTTGCCAGGCTTTTTGGTCATAGAGACAAAAAGTTGACCACCACAGGCTCTAATCTCATTAGTAGTTGGATTAGCAATTTGAATGGACTACTGGTAAGTGGTGGAAACTGTAGGCAGGTGGGGCATGGTCAGGGGAAGTAGGTCATTGGGAGCATGCCCTTGGGGACTATATCTGTCCCTGCTGTCTGTCTGTCTGTCTCTCTCTGCTTGTCAACTGGCCATGGACTGAAAACTCTGTGAGCCAAAATAAAATCTTTCCTCCCTCCTTTAGGTTGCTTATGTCAGATATTTTTGTCACAGTGCTGAAAAGCTAGCACAAGGGCCTTCATCCTTCCACGGTATCTCTCTGGGCAGAATTTAAGTCCGCAGATGAACCTCTTGCCAGCAGAGTTGACGGTTTATGTGGATGACCTTTATTGTGCCACCCAAACAGCTCAACATCCTGAGCCTCTCATGGCCAGTGTGTCCCCAAATGCCTGGGAACCCACAGACTACAAACTTCCTCAAAGTCTCCTCTCAGACAAACTGAGGCAAGAAGGCAGCACGCTGGACCTTCTCTACTGGGGAGCAGGAGTGGAGCTCACAGCCCTGCCCCTCTCCACAGGAATCCTTCTATTTTCTCCAGTCTCCTATGTTCTCAAAGTGTGGGAGATTTACGAGCAGCGGGGAATTCTTCACCAACATCGACTCTCAAGATTTTTCCAGGGGAGGAGGGCAATCTGTCTCACTCACATTTTGATATCTAATTTTCACCTCAAGTTGGAGACTTAAAACTCCAGTTTTAATATATTGTAATAGGTTGTTTTGTGTTTTCAATTTCTTGTAAAAACATAACCGGGACTGGAGGTGTGGCTCAGGAGGAGAGTGAGTGCCTAGTCACGCCAGGCCTCAGCTTGGTCTCCAGAATGACCTGACAACAACAAAAAATAAAAATAAAAATGTCAGTGGCCTCTACCTGTAGTCCCAGGTACTTAGGGGGCTGAGGCAGAAGAATCGCTTGAGCCCAAGTGTTCCAGTCTAGGCAAGTAGCAAGACCCTCTCAAAGAAAAACAAACAACCCTTCAAACTGGCTTCTGCAGTAAAGAGAATTGGTCAGCTCATGTGGCTGGAAGTCAGGATGGTGCTCAGTTTCTCCATGATTCTCTTAGATGTGCTCTTCCCCAAGCGTATAAAATGGCTGCCTGCAGCAACCTGGGTACTGATACCACAGGTTTCCGGTGACGAGTCCTGCTTCCTCCCTTGTTGAAGTCAACATCAGAGAAGCCCACTGAGGCAAGCATATACAGCAGGGCTTATTTAAAAAGCGGAAACACAGACTTTTCCCGGGAGGGAGAAGGGGGCCATGGCTGGTATCCTGGTATCCCAAGAAGTGAGAGCCTTCTTCTGCCTTTTTGTCTGTCCTAGGCTTCCTTGTTCTGCTGCTCTCTTCCCCTTATCTCTCTCCTTCCTGCATACACGACTAGGCCCAGGAGATGTTCAATGGGATGGGCAAAAGGTGAGAACCAGATGGGCTATAGGGGCCAAAGTGGCGTGATCTGGGCAGGGAGGGGGTGTGATTAACAACTTTTATAACTCCCTATAGGGAGGGACAATCCCTGGGAAAGGTTACCTTAGCAACAGGTTGGAGCTGGGGCAGGTTATCTTGATAAGGGTGGAGGAAGGGCTCTGAAGGCATTAACATTTCATTAACATCAGCCTCTTCAACTTCCCAGACCCAAATTGGCCTCCATTCTGAATACCTACCTTTTAATTCTGGCTTCAGTGTGAGCAGTCTTGGCCAAATCCAGAGAACAAAGAGGGCATCTCTTCCCTCAACCACCGAATAAGAGCCTTGAGACTTCTGATTGGACAAGATTTAACGTCTTAGGTGAAGTTGTTAACCCTGTGCTGATTGGCTTAAGTCTGGAAGAGAGGTGGGCTATACAGATTGGTTTAAATCTCTGGGAACCCATTCCTGGGATTGGTGGTGATTGCCCTACCTCCTTGTGTAACTAGAAGGAAAGATGGTTCAGAAAGATGCTACCACCAACCAATCCAAGGTCACGATCCTCAAGCATTTCATTTTGTCCCCAGTGATTTCGAGACTTCTTAATTATTTTATATCACACCATAAAAACACATGTGCCTACAAAGGAATTTATTTTGCATTGGGACTGACTTCCATTAGTCACAAGGGGATCCATGATACTTCCATTAGGCATAGTGCCCAGGATCCGTGATACTTTTAAGGGTTTCCCCATGAGAAGCTTAATTTCATTTAAAACCAGAAAAAGTTAACTTTTATGTCAAGGAAAATGTTTTCCTATATAATTTTAATATATCTATATTTTATAGTAACACAGGTACAAAATTGTATAATTTTTATTTAGTTTTTATGGAGGAAAGGGCCCATCAAGGCAGAAATGTGTTGGGTCCCTGAAAGTCACCATGCAGCCCTGCTTTGGCATTCATTAGTCCCCCTTCTCTGCAGTTTTTCTTTTACTGGCTTCATTTGTCCCTTGTGTTAGTTTTCTACCACTGTGACCAAAACATCTGACAAGATCAACTTAGAGGAGAAGTTTATCTTGGCTCATGATTTCAGAGGTTTGGTCCATGGTTGGTTGATTTCATTGCTCTGGGCCCAAGAGGAGGAAGAGCATCATGCAGAAGGGTGTGGTGTAGGAGCTCATGGTGGCCAGAAAGCAGAGAGAAGGAGGGAGCAAGATGAAAGGGCCACAGGAAAGATGAACTCTTCCAGGTCATGAACCCTTGAGGCCCACCTCTGCTAGCCAACCCCCCATGGTTGCCACCCAGTCAGTCCATTTAAACTTGAACAAAACGATTAGGTTACATCCTCTTAATCGAATCATTTCACCTTCGAATATTCCTACATCAACACAGGAGTTTTTTTGGGTGACACACCTTATATCCAAATCATAATATCCCTGGTCCAAAATTAAATGGAAAATTCTAGTACCAAACAATTTGTAAGTTTTAAAAAAAATCTATTACAGTGTATTTTTATGTACTTATATTTTGTAGTAAATTGTTCTATTTTTGGTTATTGTTATTTTCTTTCAGGTGACTAATCTATGAATTCCACTTCCTCATGGGTATGTATGTGCAGGAAAAAACACGGGGTTGCTACTATCTATGGTTTCAAGCATCCACTGAGGTTTTAAAGTATCCCCTGAGGATACAGGAGAGGGGTTGCTTTACTGGGATATGCCATATGGGAAATTGTCGACAATAGGAAACCAAAGAGTTCATCCCTTGAATTCTCAAGTTGCTATCCATTTACTTAAAGAATTCATGTGGATGTGCCAATATTGTACCAGAGACATTGTGCGTGAAGACGGCAGTCTAGGAAGGTCAGGTTTGGCTCTATAAAAATAAGCAGGAGGGAAGAGAATTCCAGGGTGGGGACAAAAAAAAGGTCTAAATTATTTGAAGCATTTTCTTTCAGTTGGAGGCTACTTAACAATGGCATGGTGTGCTAGGGCTACCTTATGCACATATTCTATCACTCGATCCTCATTAACAACCCTGTGCTGTACTGACCCATTAACCCATAGCCTTTCCACCGGTTTCCTACACGGTTACTCCCAACCTCCTGGAGGCAAGGGTAGGGCAACCCAGGACTTCCGACTCCAAAGCTTTTGCTTTTTGCTAATGGCCCCTAAAGTTGGAAGTAAGTTCTAGCTAATGGAGCAAAGTGAGCAATGGCTTGAGAAGAATACCCAAAGCTCAGTGGGAGCAGATGCGAGTCCTTGGGGGCAGCTTTCCTCCCAGATGCGCTCTCTATGGTGTGGTCCCTCAGTGCCCACCAGCTTTCCCTCCAGACCTGGGCCTTCTGAAGTCAGAGGCTGGCTTTCTGGGGCACCTGAGCAAGTCTGTGCCTCCTGCAAGGGCGCGCAGCTTCCCCAGCCGCACAGCGGAGCACTTCCTCGCTTTCCACCCGGTTCGCTCCGGCCCCTCCCCGCCCCAGCCAGCTTCTCCAAGCTGCCCTCGTCCGAGGGACCCAGGGCCCTTCTAAGATCTGGTTCCAGAAATAACAAGGCACAAAAAGAGCTTGTGATGAGGCGGCTCCTGCCCACCTCGCAGGAAGTGGGGCCTCAGGAGCACACAGGGCAGTGCCGTCGTGGGAGCGCTCGTGCTGACAGCCCCTAGGAGCCGCTGGGGACGCGAATTCTCGGTCTCCGACCCCGAGTCTGTGAGAGTGGGACCCGGAATCTTTTCAGGCACGCTAAAGTTCAGGGGACCAAGGCATCTCGCCGAGGGGCTGGGCCAAAGGAAGCACCTACACGCCCTAAATCCTCCGCCCGGGC